TTTTAGTCAATTACGTGTGAAATTTCTTGGGAATATAGTTGGTGATGGCATAGTCGAGATGGATCTAAAGAAAGTGGAAAGTGGTGAAGTTCTAAGATATCCTAACCACTGTATCAAATGTTCATTCTTTTTTTGGTTTGACAAAATACTATTGCAAGTTTATTCATAATTTTGCAAGTATTGCTTCCAATAAAATTGTGATAATGTGGTTGGTGTTATGCTAAAGCAATGCAATTATCATATTGCATTTTACTCCAAGAATTAGATGAAACTCAACAAAGATAGCCTACACACAAGAAAAAGATCTTTGTTATAGTGTCGGCACTAAAACATTGGAGACATTATTTGGGTGGACATACCAAGGTTTATACAAATAATAACATACTAAGTTACTTTGCAATGCAGCCAAAGCTTATGCTAAAGCAGGCTTATTGGCAAAAAAAACTTGCTAAATTTAATACTGAAATCATTTATAAACTTGATAAAAACAATGTTGTTCTAGATGCATTGAGTTGTCAAGTGTAATTTCAAACAATGTCAACAATCAATTTAGACTGGTTAGAGGATGTTCAGGTTTTATATGAAAGTGATTCGTTGGCAAAGGCATCTTGCATGGCACTGTACACTATGGATATTGCTCATCAAGGGGAGATTTGTCCACTATCAGATGTTGTAGATGGTGCACTTGAGTATGAAGTTGAAACTATTTTAGATTCCTGATTTCAAAGATGATCTCATATGAAGGAATATCTTATTAAGTGAAAAGATTACTTTTGTAACACTTTGTAATAAATCTTGCAAATCAATAAAATAATATATTTCTTTTAATCCAAAATTTGTTTTGTTCATTAGTTTTAGGTTAGTTTTAGTAAACTAAATTTGGCACTTTGATGTATAGGTTCAATTTATAGCCATAAGGATAATTATTATAGACTAATCACATCACCTCTCTTTTGTTGACCCATTTTTTAAAAAGGGTGTGCTTATGTAAATAACTTCATCTATTAGTTTATAATAGTTGTTTAAATCTTCTCAATAGGGTTGATTTCTACTAAAGGGAGTTGGGCCTTTGGCTCTCTCCTTATATCCCTACAAGCATGGATGTATCATTGGTTTGTAAACTAAGTGGTACTCGGAGCAATAAGGGTGGTGTTGCTAACTGGTTTGACATCTACAAATTTTATTAGAAATTTGTTGAAGTAAGCTGATGTTTACATGAAAACTAGTGAGAAAGTTACTTTTTTTTATAGATTTTAGTAACTTTCAAAAAGATAATAAAGCTTCACCATACCTTAATTCTCTTTCCTAAAGGACCATAAATGTAAACTATTAGGATTCTATCTTTTACACCCTATTATCTTATCCTATTATTCTAACCTGGTGCCTAACCATCTAGACAAAGCAAAAGACAAATGAGTCCTTGATTCTTGTAGAAAAAGGAAGTAGCAATGCCAAGGGAGCACAATTGTATCTAAGTAAAACTTAACAGCAGTGTTAAAGCCAAAATCCACTAGGGACAAAATGGAACCAACTCTAAAACTAGAAAGAAATCAACTGAAATAACCTCTTGACTTCCCATGTCAATCAGTCCCTAAAACCTCCAGGGATAACTTTCTGACAAGGCTCATACACTTTGATAACTTGATGCTTGCTTCAAACATTCCACTCTATAAAAACCTAGACACCATATCACAAGCCTTTAAAACGTTTTAGCATTTTCATTGCTTTGTTTGTTTTAGGGTTTTTTTTGGGTATGGTGGAATAGACATAGGCACTAGAATTGGGGGTAAGGGGGAACTTGAAAATTTCTCTCGCTCTCCCATCGTAGTGTCTTCACAGCAACCGCATTGTCTCCCTCGTCCACGCCTTTGTCGCACTTGTGCATTGCATGCTCTCTCTCCATGACTGGCACCGGCCCTTCTCTTGCCTTGCCCACGCAGGTGAGAGGAAGAAATTCTCACACCTGAAAGAAAGATGAGATCTTCGGAGCAATCAAGGTATCATCTACGATTTCTTGTGCTGTCTTATGAAAAGCCTCACTCTTTCTAGTTTTAGCTGGCTTTAGTTGGGGATTTCGGCCTTAACGTTGCTCCAGTTTTACTCGGACGCATTTCAGCCATATCCCCTCAAAAGGGAGAGTAACAAACCTCCATCTCTCATGAACACGGTAAACCAGCTTCTTTCTCTTCCAACACAACGACAAGTTTTTCGATGTAGTGCAGAGGAGAACCAAAGATTCCTGTTGATTTAAGGGTTAAGTTTAGGGTTACGGTTATGGCGGTCAGGAGGTTTTTCAGGAAGTTTTTCAATCGAACATCAGAGCCGAATGATCTGGCGGTCAGGAAGTTTTACAATCGAACATCAGAGCTGAATGATCTAAGGAATCACCTCACTCCCGTGGACATCGGGCATCCGGGTAAGATGGTTCTTGTGACGGGGCCAAGGCAATCGGGCAAATCGGCGCTTCTTCAAGAGTTCTGTTCTAGGCAGCGTGCCGGCGACTACCCTGGTGTTCCAGCCTTCGTTGACATGCGGGAGTGGAGCAACATCGACCCCTCAAAGTTTTGGATTAACTTAGGTGCCAGTTTTGAAAAGTCTCTTCAGCTCAAAGGAAAAGCGCCTGCAAAGCTGGGTCTCAAAGTCTTTTCGATGCCGAAGCTACGGCGACTTGGTTTGGGTCTCGATGTCGTGTCTTCGAAGCAGGATCCCATCGGCAGGGTGATGGCTGGTTTAGAGGAGTACACGTCCGCCATGAGAATGGACATGCCGGGTTTCCTCAATGGATTTCCCACGATATTCATCGACGAAGCTGATGCTCTGGCTAGCTGGACCAGAACCGCAGGGGGTGTTCAGGAGCTGGATTACCTATTGCGGTTCCTGGTGCGGATCTCTAAGCAGGAGAATGCAGCTAACGTGGTTTTGGCTTCATCAGAAAACTTCTTTAAGAAATGGTTGTGTGACATGGAACCCTTCCTTGGTCATAAGGTCGTCCGCGCAAGTGTTGGTCACTTCAACGAAGAGGAGGCCAAAGAGTTCGTGAGGCAGGGCCTCCAGGAATCAGACTTGAACCGGGAGGGGCTTGAAGCGGAGGTGCTTGCGATTTGGGATGACGTTTATGCTCACTACGGGGGAGCCATTATGTTGCTGTATGATCTTCTCCACATGGCACTACGCTCACAGCCTGGTGAAGTCTGCAAAAACTGGGAGGTGGCGAAGCAGCAGTGCATGAACGAAGCGACGTGCCTAGTCGAAGAAGGTTTTCATCCTAACAATATGGGCAAAGCTAACAAGATGGTCAAAGCTGCTGCGTGGACGCCTGATGACTGGAAGAATGTGGTGGGAGCCATGGCAGCTACCGAGGATGGAGTTCTCCCCTTCCATTCACTGTCTGTGTCTGGTCTTGAATCAATGGTCCGTTACAATTTCCTCGAATACAGGGAGCCGACCGGTTGGGACAAAGACATCAAAGCCATATCGACTCCGATCTTCATGCCAGTCACAAGAGCTCAGCATCTGGCAATGAGACAAGTTGTAACTCGACCCAGTCGACACAACTGAATTATGGTTGGAATAAATCACTCTAATAAAGTGTTATGTTACTCTAATAAAATATTATGGTTGGATTTTGTTCCTAGCAATGAACTTACAGGCAGCCTTCCATACAAGGTAAGCTGTTCGTGTGAAAATAGCATCCGACTGTCTGAATTGGCCAAGTGGGCCCTCCTACTTAGAAGAAGATGTCCTACCACACTTTTTTTATTACTTTGCCACGCTTGCCCGTGCTGTTAAGTCCAGTCAACAGGCCTGGGCTCTCCTGTTGACGTTGAGAGTGAGACCTTATCTTTATGAGGTAAGGTACAAATATCCATTGTCAAGCTAAATGTATAAATTGTTATTTGCATAGGGATTTTGGAAGTCCCACTTTGAATACAACTAAAAATCTTCAAGACCAAAACTACTATAAGTTACTTTGCAACTTATTTTGAAATTTCAAAGTTGACAGTGTAGAAGTACATAACACTCATCGATGCCAATCAAAGGGGTGTATATAAGAAACAAAGGTGCAATCATGTTTGGGCTAATGCTTTTATGAATCATGCTAGTGCAAACTAAAGGATTATCAATTCCCACTGTGGTGTAAGATATTGTTTTAGTCAACACCAATTACACCAGACTTTAGCTATATATAATCCAGCTAAACTTCAATAAAGACACATGATTAGAATTCACTATAAATACTTAAATGACACATTTATGCATTGTGTGATATAGATTATAAATTTATTCTATAAATTGTGATCATGGGATGAGATTTGGATATACTATTAACCTTAAATGGGAATAAAATAGCCATTAAAGACTATTTCATTAAGCAAACCTATATCCTAAACAATCACATTGGTGGAGATGAGAGGCATTTATATATGGTATTTGAGTAAATGGTATGAGTTTGATTTCCATTAATTAATTAGTGGCTATTTAAAAATATAATATATTCTTTAGTAAGGTATTTTTCACCCCTAAATTTGAAATCATACTTCTTGGGTATTTATGTGTATGTCCTTCCTTTATGAATGATTAATTCCCTAGCTAATCTGCACAATAAAAGGATTTGTAGATTCAATGCTGAAATGAAGAATTTTAACATCTCTAAAGAGGGGGTATATCTTATATGTGATCATGGGACAAAATTTAAATATACTGTTATTGTAATAATTACCTCTTTCTAGAGTTGGCTTACAATTAATCTTGATATGCATTAAAAAAGTTTTACCACATTATAGAACAAGAATAATATAATGACAATTTATTTTATGATTTTAAACAAGTTTTTGGTTTGAGGCTGATAACCAACCCTATTAATACACATTCTAAAGAAGAGAATTTTTACATTTTACTTCACAATCTTTATTTTCTTCTTTTATTCTCTAGAAGACTCAATCAAAACATCCAAGTCACCCACCATATCCTTGAAGTATTTCTTCTTGCTATACTCCTAATAAAACACAATAAGATTGCTTTATTTGTCACATTTGAGCAGATAGAATACTAATGGATTTTCAAAGTTTTGCTTAGAAGTACAATACTCGTCAATCAGTGTCTAATTGCCTCAGTGATGGAGAAAGGATCTGCTTCAAAGAATCTCACGCTTCCAAATCCACATGATTCCAGCAAATTTTTCCATCCAGTTTTCGTTCTCTGGTACCGCTGGCTCCCCGACAAGAACATCATATCAAGCTGCAAGTGTAACTCCTTGCCTTCGTCCATGACCATGTCACAAATGATGATTTTCCCATCTGATTCGAGGGCCGAGTGACAGTTCTTGACGATCTTTGCCGCATCAGCATCCGCAAACATGTGTAAGAAACTCTGCGCTCAAACACATCTGATGTAAGATAGAAAAGAAACTAATGCCCTCACTTTCAAGAAAATGCCATCCCCAGGTGGAACGAAGTCCATAGCATCTCCGGGAACGTTTTCCACACCTGATAGAGTTTTCAGCAAGATCCAAGAAGAACTACAGATCATTACAAACTCGTACCTGGATATGCTGGAGCATTTGCAATGACCCGAGGAAGATCGAAGTTCACAGCCTGGATGTGCGGGTAGAGCCGCACAATCTGAGCCAGAAACGAGCCCGTGTCACCCCCAACGTCGACAAGCCTCTTGACGCTCTTGAAACCATCGTAGACTCGCGTAACAGTAGCAGAGGTTGCCGTGCTTATACTCAGCCTGAAGTCTTCGATAACTTTCCAAAACTCTGGATGCGCTGCCACATAGTCCTGAGGTTCCATTCCATGAGCTTCCACAAAAGCATTGGAGTCGCCCGGCCGCTTGATGGCAGCATCTACATGTTGCCACGAACGCTGAGTGACTTCGGACGTGCAGAAGGAGAGAATGCCCCCCACGAAGACGTCACTGCTAGAGCCATGGCTGACCAGCAGCCTGGACATGGGAGTGAGGCCATAGCGAGCTCCGTTGAGAGCGAGCACCTTCTTGAAGACGAGAAACCTGAGGAGTCGGAACAGCCTCTCGGCCTGGATGCTATCTGCATCGTGCTTGATCCGTAGCTCCTGAATGATCTCGTCCAGAGTGGCTCCTTGCTCCGACGAGAACTTGGACACGATGTTGAAGATGTCGAGCTTGACTGCGGCCTTGAGAGCGAAGGGCGCTGCAAATCCCAGTGTGAGGCTCCAAAACTGGCTGTACGCTTCCATTTGCTCGCTCGTCGCCATTGCGAATTGCTGCTTGGTTGCTCTGTTTGATGGAAGAACGACCCCACCCTCGTTTCTTATCGGTGATGAAGTGTCGAACAGGGCGAACTTGCCGCGGAGCTGCGGCCGCACCTTCCAAGAACCTCAAACATTTGTAGAATAATAGTCTCTAGATCTCAGCGTGAGGACCTCTCTCGAAACCATGAATCGAATTCTTACCATAGTTCCCTGCGACAATTTTCTCAGCAATCGTGGAGAAGCGGAAGGAAGAGATACCTGCCTAACGTAGAAGCTCCATCGAATATCTCGAAAGCGGTACGACCACTCTCAATCGTGGCGGAGGAAGAGATACCAGTTTTAATGTAGCCATCGAAATATCTTCCATAACGGCACCGATCGAGTACCTGTCTCTCAATCGCTAGAAATTTCACTTTCCTGTGCTGGAGGAGGCCAAAGACGGCAGCAGATCCATCCTCTGATCAGCGCCCGGCGACAGGATCGCGTTGCCGCTCTCAAGAATGCGTTATAAACCCTAGGTTTGATAGTCACTCTGTTATTAGGGTTTATAGCAAAGATGACTTTCATGGACAAGCTAATGCGCGCAGTGGCGGCACTCGAGTACAAGGCGCAGCACCGCGACGATCTCGACTGTGAGGCCTTCAACAAGCGCCCAGAGCTTACACTCGGCACCAACTGGAGCATGGACAAATTTGACAGGTATTGCGAGCGCTACAAGCTCTTCTCCAAGTGTATCTTCCGCCACGGCCGGGTCATCGTGGTGGACGCTGGGTACACCAATCTGAGGTACGCCATAGTCATGTCACAGGTTAGCATTGCGCTCCAGCCGGCCGTTGGCATCCCCTGGCCATTCCAGCCCAAGGGATCCAACCGAGTGGTGAGATACTTGTCCCTGGGTGCCAGCCATCGATCTGTGATTCCAGGGCCGCCCCGGATCTTTGTGAGCGTCGGAGAGTACCAGACCTTGCCGGAGCTTCTCTCGTATGTGGACTCTTACATCCAGGAGCCAGGCTCAAAGCTCCAGTACCTCTTGGTGCTGAAGTTCTACCCCGGGTCGGGCAACCGGATGGTGGCCGTGATCTACGAGATCGTCGGCAGTGGTGGTGGCGAGGGTGGTGCCATGGTTACAAGTGCTAGCGCTGTGTCCTTTGGAGATGAGGCGCTGTTCCCGGAGACTCTGGCTTTCCTGGCGGAGCGGGAGATCCCAGTGACTGGTGTGGGACTCGGTGGAGAGAGGTGTGACAGAATTGGAATCCCGAGTTACCAGATTAAACTTGCCACTGCGAAAGTTCTTGAGGGAGGAGACCTTGGGCTTCCAGAGATCCGGGACAAGGGAGACAACCTGATATTGGATCTCTACATTATCCAGGCTGCATACGGATGCCGTTGTCTGTGAAACTGGTTCTTCGTCTAGTTTTGGTTTGGCTTGCTAGCTTTCCTTGAAATGAAATTGAGAAAGGAATAGCAGGCCCGGCGCACGATAGCAGCATTGGGGTGAGCGCGTGAGTACACGCAACACACCATGCGATCCGGGCCATTGCCCCAGAACTTCAGCGCGATCACAAATCGGCATGATGGCAACGCGAAATACTCCTCGCATCTGCAGAAAACAAGCGCGATCACAAATGGCACAACGGCAACACGAAATCCTCTGCACCTGCGGAAAACGCCCTGAAGCGACTGACTTGTGGCAACTTCCACAAAGCCAGATGGAGCATCAACAGTACCATCCGGCTGCTGCATGCGGATCGTGACGTCGGGTTCCCTCCTCACGTTTGGTGCAAGATACGCGACGATCAAGAAGACACACTAGCTTCCATAGCCGGAGCGTGAAGGAAGCGAATCCCAATTACATTCTGCCATCTGTAAAGTACCGTAAAAGACCAGGTCAAGAAAGGTCAAAACTTCTTCCCGCCACGATCGCTAGAGCTTGGAGCTTAGGGCTAAGAGATTGTAGATTCGCTGCTGCTGCATTTTTTGTCCAACGCAGTAAGTAAAGATCTCTGTTAGAAATGGAGAAAGTGATCGGTACTTAGTTTCTTCGCCATTGCTGAGAGAACATCTGAGAATTCGATTCATGGTCTTCGCCTTTGAAGGATCAGTGATGTCACAATTCCCGTTTCGAGGTTCTTGGAAGGTGCGCCACTTCATCACAACAGTTCTGGGGTCGTTCTTCCATCAAACAGAGCAAGCAAGGAGCGATTCGCAGTGGCGAGGAGCGAGCAAATGGAAGCGTACAGTCAGTTCTGGAGCCTCACACTGGGATTTGCAGCGCACAGTGAAGCTCGACATCGTCAACAGATATCCTGTCCAAGTTCTTCTCCGGAAGCCCAAGGTCTCCTCCCCCGAGAACTTTGGCAGTGGCAAGCTTAATCTGATAACTCGGGATGCCAATTCTGTCACAGCTCTCTCCACCAAGTCCCACACCAGTCACTGGGATCTCCCGCTCCGCCAAGAAAGCCAGAGTCTCCGGGAACAGCACCTCCTCTCCAAAAGACACAGCGTTAGCACTCGTAGCCACGGCACCACCATCACCGCCACCACCGCCGACGATCTCGTAGACCACGGCCACAGATGTATGAGCTCGGGACAAACGAGATAATGTCGGCTGCGAGATTGCCGAGAACGATATATAGATATCTACTCTTTGATTTAGACCAGACTACTACTTACTGCTCCGTTCTTCCCTGGATTCGATGTGGGACCAATTTGATACGCAGAGGATCGTGGGCTTTAATGCTGGAGATCAGACTGTATCAAGTACGTATTCCCGGAAATTGGATCTTTGGCAATCAACCTGTCCCTCCCCAAGCTCAAGCCGTGTATCACATCGACCTCTACCTTGTTCAACGCGCGTTTCACGAGCAAATAGGAAAGGCCGAGCCTTTCTTGTTTCGTGCTACTAGGGTTTAGGTGAGTTTTCTAACGTTGAGGATTTCTACCAAGAGCCAGCGCTCGGCCGGGTCATCGTGGTCGAAGCTGGGAGAGTTACGCCACGGCCTTAGCAGTGTGCTCCAGCCGGCCTTTGGCATCTCCAGCCCAAGGGATCCAACCGAGTGGTGAGATTGTCCCTGGGTGCCAGCCATCGATCAGTGTTTCCAGGGCCGCCCCGGATCTAACTCTTGTAACCAAAAGGCTTGCTTCACAGAAACATATTCCGTTACCAAAACTAGACGACCTCAGGTAAAACTTGAGGTACTCGAGCCCGGATCCTAAAAATACGGGCTTTGGAGAAGGTGCTCTGGAGCCTGATCTGCTACTGCGACTTGGGACTGGCACTGTCCTCGGCCACGAGAGGAACTTGTCCATCTTCCACGGAAGCCAATCTTGCTCTCCGTGGTACCTAGTCAGTCATAAGTAAATTACTGGTGTTGTAACTTTCGGAGCTGGAAAAGCCTTGACGTGCCGGGACGTGTAGTATCGCAAGCTCGATATCTCTTCGGTAGTGAACCTCGTGGCAAAATGGCAAAGTTAATCTCGTTGGCTCGCAGTAATTGATTTAATTCCAGCATTGCACTGCGGAACACAAAAGGCAAAAGTAATTTTCTTTATCAACTGCAAAAGCTTACGCACGTCTTCAATGTCAAGTTTTAGCTTCAGCCCTCGCAAGTTCTCCAACAAGAAGACTTTAAAGTGGATGTGTCAACTCCTCGTATCTGCAAACAGAGAACAGTGAAGAAGCAGCCACAACTTTAAACCAGACCTGCTCATCATTATCTCCATGTTCCATCGCTAGGAAGAGGACTACCACTTGTTTGCTCAGGAAATGCCTTCAACATCCTGAAGAGACATGAGAACAGATAAAGAAAAACACAAATAGTGGAAAAAGGAACTTCAAGGAACCTGCTCAAAGATTCTGCAGTTAATCGAACGTCACCTACTTCTGCTGACGCTTTCGAAATGTTTCGAGAGGTCGTCCCTGATAGACAAGAGCTGAAAACGTTAGTGTCTGATATTAATCACGAGCAAAAATTACCGCTTCCTCAACGTGCTCTTGGTAGAAATCTTTTATGGCTTCTGCACCTTGTCGGATCCAGTTCAAAGTCGTCACTACCAGCCAACCGGGTATTCTTATTGGGCCTCTCATACGAAGGCAACTGCAGTCACTTAAGCTAGTCAGGAAGTACAAGTTCTTACATGCACTCTTTGATGTTGCTGAGATTTGCACGTAAGCACCGAACGACCCATCTCAATTTCTTCGTCCATCCAATCTCGTTTGGACATGATTTCTTTCGGTACGTAAGCGACATACAGGCGGGCCTTCACGTCGTAGTAAACATTCTATACACGAAAAACAAATTAAACTATGGATTGATTAGCACGACTCTACTTACAGGAGGTAAAGCGTAATTTCTTTGAGTTGCATCGTAGACACTTGTCGAAGCAGCCCTGATCAGAAATGAAGGAAACATGAAAAAGAACTTTTCTTGACAGAGTGCAATACCTGAGTCAGCAGTACTGCAAGCTGCTCCTGAATGATTCCAAGCATCGTTATGCTCTCGGTAATTCGACACGACGCATCATACACCAGCTTTTGAGTCGCAGAGCTTTCGGAGATTAAGGCACGAATCATGCAGGCCAAGCCTTCCACAAAGGCGTGAGGACCTCTCTCCAGACCATGAATCGAATTCTCATCATGTCAGCTCCCTGTGACAAAATTCCTGGAACATAAAGAAGAAAAACAAGGAGCAAACCTGAGATCGATGCTCATGGAGGCCAGGAAGAAGGTAGCAGCACTCATTCTTCCATCTCGCAAAGTCAATGCCGACTCAGCAGCGCCTCAGTCACGAAGCCCCAAACCCTAAGGTTTTAACGTCTCAAGAAAGATGGAACAGAGCTCCATGGCCAGATTGCCATGGCCGGAGATTGTAGATGCCAGACCCACGCGGATTGTGGCAATTTGGCAACGGCAAATTGCTTGCGGGCTCTGCCGCATATTCTTGGAATCAAGAGCCATTTACATTCTTCGAGTGTTTTGGAGAAGCCATCTACCAGGTAGAAATAGAAGCCTATCTCTCGACTGATTTTACTTCCATCGCAAAATGCCGCTTTCTTACAATCAATTACATTACGACTATGTTTCGATTGTCGTCTCGCCATCTTAGCTCCGGCCAGCCTTGTTTTTGTATTCCATTCGCAACATGGAAAAGATTTTATCGCTAGAACATTAGATTTGGGTAAGCTTCCAGATTTTGATATTAAGTTCCTATACACTTTGAGATCATTGTTTCATTGACAACAATTATATGCTGTATTTGTTGAATATGTGCTCAATACTTCGACAATGTTATGAATGTGATTTTCAAAGTTTTAATTTCGAGTACAAGGATAATACTCGTCAATCAATGTTTAACTGCCTCAGTGATGGAGAAAGGATCTGCTTCAAAGAATCTCACGCTTCCGAATCCACATGATTCCAGCAAATTTTTCCATCCAGCTTTCGTTCTCTGGTACCGCTGGCTCCCCGACAAGAACATCATATCAAGCTGCAAGTGTAACTCCTTGCCTTCGTCCATGACCATGTCACAAATGATGATTTTCCCATCTGATTCGAGGGCCGAGTGACAGTTCTTGACGATCTTTGCCGCATCAGCATCCGCAAACATGTGTAAGAAACTCTGCGCTCAAACACATCTGATGTAAGATAGAAAAGAAACTAATGCCCTCACTTTCAAGAAAATGCCATCCCCAGGTGGAACGAAGTCCATAGCGTCTCCGGGAACGTTTTCCACGCCTGATAGAATTTTCAGCAAGATCCAAGAAGAACTACAGATCATTACAAACTCGTACCTGGATATGCTGGAGCATTTGAAATGACCCGAGGAAGATCGAAGTTCACAGCCTGGATATGCGGGTAGAGCCGCACAATCTGAGCCAGAAACGAGCCCGTGTCACCCCCAACGTCGACAAGCCTCTTGACGCTCTTGAAACCATCGTAGACTCGCGTAATAGTAGCAAACGTTGCCGTGCTTACACTCAGCCTGATAACTTTCCAAAACTCTGGATGCGCTGCCACATAGTCCTGAGGTTCCATTCCATGAGCTTCCACAAAAGCATTGGAGTCGCCCGGCCGCTTGATGGCAGCGTCTACATGTTGCCACGAGAGCTGAGTGACTTCGGACGTGCAGAAGGAGAGAATGCCCCCCACGAAGAAGTCGTTGCTAGTGCCGTGGCTGACCAGCAGCCTGGACATGGGAGTGAGGCCATAGCGATCTCCGTTGAGAGCGAGCACCTTCTTGAAGACGAGAAACCTGAGGAGTCGGAACAGCCTCTCGGCCTGGATGCTATCTGCATCGTGCTTGATCCGTAGCTCCTGAATGATCTCGTCCAGAGTGGCTCCTTGCTCCGACGAGAACTTGGACACGATGTTGAAGATGTCGAGCTTGACTGCGGCCTTGAGAGCGAAGGGCGCTGCAAATCCCAGTGTGAGGCTCCAGAACTGACTATATGCTTCCATTTGCTCGCTCCTCGCCATTGCGAATCGCTGCTTGGTTGCTCTGTCTGATGGAAGAACGACCCCACCCTCGTTTCTTATAGGTGATGCAGTGTCGACATGATCTCTTCTTTTGAAGAGCGGGAACTTGTCGCGGAGCTGCGGCCGCACCTTCCAAGAACCTCAAACATTTGGAGAATAGTAGTCTCTTGGTTCACGAGATCTCAGCGTGAGGACCTCTCTCGAAACCATGAATCGAATTCTTACCATAGTTCCCTGCGACAATTTTCTCAGCAATCGTGGGGAAGCGGAAGGAAGAGATACCTGCCTAACGTAGCAGCTCCATCGAAATATCTCGAAAGCAGTACGACCACTCTCAATCGTCGCGGGAGGAAGAGACACCAGTTAATGTAGCCATCGAAATATCTTCCACCGATCAAGTACCGATCACTCCCAAGCGCTAGAAATTTCACTTTCCTGTGCTGGAGGAGGCCAGAGAATCCTCTGACCAGCGCCCGGCGACAGCCCGCATCTGGCCTGGATCGCGTTGCCGCTCTCAAGAATGCATTATAAACCCTAGGGTTGATAGTCACTCTGTTTATAGGGTTTATGTTTATAGGGTGCCGTGGTTACGAGTCTTTTGGAGAGGAGTTATTCCCAGAGACTCTGGCTCGCTTGGAGATTCCAGTGAATGGTGTGGGATTCGGTGGAGATAAGTGATTGGAATCCCGAATTACCAACTTGAACTCGCCACCGCAAAAGTTCTTGAGGGAGGAGAGATCCGGGACAAGGGAGACAACCTGATACTGGATCTCTACATTATCCAGGCTGCATATGGATGCCGTTGTCTGTGAAACTGCTTCTTCTTCTAGTTTTGTTGGCTTGCTAGCTTTCCTTGAAATGAAATTGAGATACAGTAGATATCTTGAATGTTTTCTTGAATGGATTTATATGACAATCTCGCAGCTGACATTATCTCGCTTGTTCCGAGCTCATGCATCTGTGAAGAACGCGAGCGTACCTCGCAAGCATCACCGAGTTACCTTGACTGGATGAATCTGCGAAGACCGCCTCTTGGCTGGCTTTGGAGAAGGCGCTCTGGAGCCTGATCTGCTGCTTGCCGGAGACTGCGACTTGGGAGTGGCACTGTCCTCGGCCACCGAGAGCCTCCGCAACCATTTGACAGCTTTGAGGGGCTCCGCCTCCAGCGTCTTGGACTGCGACATGAGAAGCGTTGTGAACCACAACACGCTGGCTTTGGGCTGCCTCTTCAAGTCCAGGTCCTCTTGGTCCACGAAGAACAGGCCGAACTTCTTGGTGTAGCCCTGCGACCACTCGAAGTTGTCCACCAGCGACCACACAAAGTATCCCCGGACGTCCGCACCCTTCCGCATTGCTCTCACCACCGCGGCCATGTAGCCTTGGTGGTACCTGATGCGCTTCGTGTCATGCAAGCGCTCGGGCAGCGGGATTGTTTTGTCGTCCTGGTCGTCCATGCCGTTTTCGGTGATAAAGATTGGTGGCCGGTTGTACCTGTCGGTTATCCAGTTGAGGAACTTCTCCATCCCCCACGGAACCATGTAGAGCCACTCTGAAGCCGCTCGCTCTCCAATCGGCACCCCCATCTTGCTCTCCGTGGCAGTCACGACGGCCTGGTCGGTGAAGTAATTCACCGGTGTTGTAACTTTGGGAGCTGGAGCAGCCTTGACGTACCGGGACGTGTAGTGATTAATTCCAATGTAGTCGAGTGAGCGTCGCAAGCTCGATATCTCTTCGGCAGTGAACCTCGGCAACCTGTCCCCAACGTTCTGTCTCATGCACTCCGGATAGTCACCGAAGAAAATGGGATCTAGAAGCCAGCCAAGCTGAAACTCGATACGTCGCTGCGCGGCCTGCTGGTCCTCAGGGGACTCCGTGAAAGGCTCGGACCACTCGCCATCGCAAGCCAGACCAATCACACCACCTTGCTCGGACTGGAACTTTTTCCTGTATATTTCCACAGCTGCAGCGTGAGCCAGGAGCGCGTGGTGAACCGCAAGATATGGTTCCACCGCTGAATCACCGGCTGGAGACCTGGACTTGTCCGAGCACCTTCCAGGAGCATGGACGCCTGTCCCGTAACCGTTGACGCAAAACTGTGCCGGCTCGTTCAGCGTGATCCACTTCTTCACCCTGTTCCCAAATCTTGCAAAGCAAATCTCTGCGTAGCCTGCAAAGTAGTCCACCACTCGAGGATTTATCCAGCCTCCCACAATTGGTGCATCGTCGTGGATTCTCTGCGGAAGATCCCAATGGTAGAGTGTAACAAACGGCTCCAATCCTTTGCTGAGAAGCTTGTCAATGAGATGGTTGTAGTACTCCACACCTTTCTCATTCACGGAGCAGGAAGTGCCACCCATTCCGTCTGGGATGATCCGAGACCAGGAAATTGAAAACCTGTACGCGTTCATACCCATCTCGGACATCAAGTTGACGTCTTCCTTGTACTTGTGATACTGGTCCACTGACTTGTAGCCATTGCGACCGTCAGCAATCCGTCCAGGTACGTTGCAGAAAACATCCCAGATGGACAGTCCTCGGCCACCTTTTTTCGAAGCTCCTTCCACTTGATACGCGGACGTTGCAGTCCCGAAGGTAAAATCGTCCGGGAAATCCACGCGACGGACCTCATCGTATTCAGCAACAATTCCAGGAGGCCCGCCTTCGCTGCTGCTTGATGGTGACGGGGAGTTCACGTCCAGGATCAGGGAACGACGAGCTGAAGAACTCATCCACACCTGTTCAAGGGTCTGAATTCCTCCAGAAGAACCAGCATCATCTTCGTGTGTTGCGGCATTGTCGGAGGCTTGATGGACGTCATCCGCTGGACTACCGGGGTCATCCTCTGTTGCTTCCTGTTCCTCCATCTATCTAGCTCCAAAATTGTAACTGAATTTTGCGCGCGGACGCAAAAATATGGATTTCGCGCGACGACGTCATGTGTCACCGGCTCGAATCCTGACAGTGCCACTTTCACTAGAGTCTCGGAACTGGAGCAATACACTCGTACAGTCGTCCCATCCGAGCAGTTATCAAGAGCTTGTAGTGTGTGTCCAAATTCGGCTTTGCAAGGTCCAATACATCCTCCCGCAAGCTGCACACAACCGTTGAATCAATACAGCTTCGTTCGAATTTAAGCTACTTACCTGAACCATTCAGCCTTAGAGATGCCATTCTTAGAGAGGGCACGGTACAGCCTGTCAAGGGCATAGAGCAGCATTCCATACTGCCACAACGCTTGGCTTTCCTGAAAGAACAGCAGAATCATACAAAGGAAACGAAAAAATGCATACCTCGTTTTTATCTTTAAAAAGCTGGTATTGAATCACTGCTCTTTCGGCTTCAGCGACGAGCATTCTCCTCCGAAGCTGCGCCTTACGCCCCCTACCTTCTGCACCTTTAGACTGTAAAACGTGTTAGTGAAACAAATGTCCAGATAAGTGGCCGATACCTTGGAAAGTGAAACCCGAATCAAATATCCTAGGAAAACCGCGAAAATTACAGCAGGAAAAGCAGCCAAAATCGCAAAGTTAATCTCGTTGGCTCGCAGTATTTGATTTAGTTCCAGCATCGCACTGCGGAACACAAAAGTGAAAAGGAATATTCTATATCAACTGCAAAAGCTTACGCACGTTTCAATGTCAAGTTTTAGCTTCTGAACTTGAATCAGCAACGCCCTCGCAAGTTCTCCACCAAGAAGGCTCTGAAGCGGGTGTGTCAACTCCTTTTCATATCTGAAAACAGAGAACAGTGAAGGAGCGACAACTTTAAACCAGACCTGCTCATCATTATCTCCATCATTTGTTGCTCTGTCGCATCGCTAGGAAGATGACCACCGCTTGTTTGCTCCGCAAATGCCTTCAACATCCTGCAGAGACATAAGAACAAATAACACAAAATAGGAATAGTGGAAAAGAAAAGAAAATTAACAAAACCTGCTCAAAGATGCTGCAGTTAATCGAACGTCTCCTACTTCCGCTGATCCTTGGTGACGCTTTCGAAATGTTTCAAAGAGATCGTCCCTGATAGACAAGAGCTGGAAACATTCCTGATTAGGAGTGTCTGTTACTAATCGCGAGCAAAATTTACCGGTTCCTCAACGTGCTCTTGGTAGAAATCTTTAATGGCCTCTGCACCTTGTCGGATCCAGTTGTCAAGGTCGTCACTACCAGCTAGCCGGCTATGTTTTCCAATCCACCCGGAAATAACAACGAACGCTAAAGCAGTGACAGAATAATGAATCCAAAATCTAGTTATCTTCTTGGGCCTCTCATATAAAGGCAACTGCACAATTAAGCTAGTCAGGAAGTACAAGTAACGAGGCATCTTACCAGGAACGCCATGCACTCTTTGATGTTGCTGAGATTTGCACGTAAGCACCGAACGACCATCCCAATTTCTTCGTCCGTCCAATCTCGTTTGGACATGATTTCTTTCGGTACTTCAGCGACATGCAGGCGGGCCTTCACGTCCTTGGAAGTGTTTGGACCATAGTAGGCACTCTACACGTGAAAAACAAATTAAACCATGGATTGATTAGCACAACTTTACTTACAGGAGGTAAATCGTAATTTCTTTCGAGCTTGATCATTGCATCGTAGACATTTGTCAAAGCAGCACACAAAGACTGCCTTCCTTGGTGGTCACCCAGTTTGTCCACTTCGTGGTACACCTGATCAGAAATGCAGGAAACTGAAAAAAGAACTTCTCTTGACGGAGTGTAATACCTGAGCAAGCAGTACTGCAAGCTGCTCCTGAATGATTCTAAGCATCGTCATCCTCTCGGTAATTCGACATGACGCATCATACACCAGCTTTTGAGTCGCAGAGCCTTCGGAGATTAAAGCACGAACCATACAGGCCAAGCCTTCCACAAAGGCGTGAGGACCTCTCTCCAAGACCATGAATCGAATTCTCATCATGTCAGATCCCTGTGACAAAATTCTCATCAATCGCAGGGAAAGAAAAAGAAGAAAAACGAAAACACCACACCTGTTGACGAGCACGCCAGAATTGGAAGTTAATCTGGATGTCGTGAAGCAGCAGTAGCAGCTCCATTGAAATGTCTCGAAATGCTTCCATGACGGCATCGATGACTTCCATCCGCTCTCTGGAATTCATCTCTCAGTTGCCTTCTACTGCTAGAAATTTCACTTACTGTGTAGGAGGAGGCCAAGAAGAAGGCAGCAGCAGCGGCAAGCCATCGCGCTCCTTCTTCCTTCTCGCGAAGATCTTGCGCGTCAATGCCGATGCCGCCAGAATCCGGCTCCTGTCCGCGACATCCTTGGCATGGCCCTGGATCCACAGCAGCGCCTCCGTCACGTTCATCTCTCCAAACCCTAGGGTTTTAACGTATGGCCCTTTCTTTTCATGATCCCGGTGCTCAAACGCATCGAGATCACATCCAGTGAGGCCGATCGCAAGCTCGCAGCATCGCTCCTCAAGAAATTCGCGGCCGCTAGATCTCTCGAGGATGGAAGAGAGCTCCACGGCCGGATTGCGAGGGCGGGGCGCGACGGAGATACATTTCTTGGCAATCTCCTGGTGCAACTGTATAGCCGATGCGGCACGATCGACGAGGCCCGGGCGGCCTTCGATCGGATCCACCGCAAGAACATCTTCTCCTGGAACTCGGTCATCGGCGCGCATTGCCAGGGCCGGGATCTGCCCGGCGCGGAGATTGTGCTGCGCAAGATGCCGCAAAGCGATTGCTACTCGTGGACGATCTTGCTTGCGTCCCACGCGGATTGTGGAGATTTGGCAGCGGCAAATCGCGTGCTGGATGAAATGCCCGAGATAAACCCTATCGCTCTCACCGCTCTCTTGAATGCCAATGCCCGCGCAGGGCATATCGAGGTAGCCATAGCCGCATTCGAATATATGCGTGGGCGGGATGTGACCACATACAATGCCATGCTTGCCGCATATTCTTGGAATCAAGAGCATGAGTGTATGTGGGATTCTTTTCAAAGGATGCCATTTTGGGACTTGGTATCTTTAAATACGGCACTTGCCGCTTTAGGGCATTTGGAGAGCGCGAAGCAATTCTTTGATTCCATGCCACAGAGGGACATTTTCTCCTGGAATTCGATCGTCCAAGCTTGTGTTGAGGACGATATCGCCGATTTGGCTGCCTTGGTGTTTAATCGGATGCCAAATCGAAGCCTTGTCTCGTGGAATTCTTTGATTCAAGTTCGCATCCAGCAAACCCAATGCGCTCGCGCATTGGAATTGCTAGAAGAAGCGCCTGAATTTGACGTTTTCACTTGTAATCTAGCGATCCAAACCTACACTGGATTGGGCGAAATCCAATTCGCCAGGGAATTTTTTGATTCCATGGATCAAAGAGACATAGTAACTTGGGCAACGATGCTCGTCGCCCATTCCCAGCATGGGGATTTGCCCCAAGCCAATAGTGTGTACGAGAATATGCCACAGCACAATGCCGTGGCTGGAACGGCAATGCTGGTAGCATACTCCAACACCTCAAATCTCCCAAGTGCGATTCACATCTTTAAAAAAATGCCCGAGCTTGACATCTTTGCGTGGAATGCTATGCTTGTGGCATATGCCGCGTCTGGTAATATTTCTTCCCTTGAGAAATTCTTGAACAAAATGCCCATGCTGGATATATGTTCCTGGAACTCGACCTTGCAAGCGTACGGCTGGTACGGCTACCTGGGAAAGGCAAAGTCTGTGTTCGATTCTATGCCCCAGCGGGATTTGATCACGTGGAACTCTATGATTGCGGGATATACCCAAGCTAGGGAATGGAATCTGGCACTGATGTTGTTTGGTAGTATGGACCAAGAGGGAATCAGCCCAGATACGGCCACCTATTCCAGCGTTTTTTATGCCTGTGGAGAGCATGGGGCTGTTACACAGGGCAGAATCCTCCATTCTTTACTGGAAGAAGCGCCAGATCGCGAAATTTTAGAAAGCTTGGCCATATCTGCAGCACTTGTAAGCATGTATGGAAAATGTGGCTGCCTTGACGAGGCCAGACAGAAGCTGTTTGGGGAGTATCCCGGGAATCGAGACCGGAACTGGTGGAACTCGATGCTAACAGCATATGCCCGGAATGGGCATCACAGGGAGGTCGTACGGCTCTTCAGGGCCATGGACGTGGAAGGCGTGGGGCCGGACGATCGCAGCCACGTGGCCGCCATCGACGCGGCCGCCAGCCTCGCGGACCTGGAGCTGGGCAAGACAATCCACAGGAGCCTCATGGAAGAAATCCAAACTTTCAATCTCGCCACCAACGAAACCGTGATGAACACCGCGCTGCTCAACCTCTACGGGAGCTGCGGAGAGGTCGTCTCCGCGAGGGGGATATTCGACTCCATGCCGGACAAAGATACCCCGGCTTGGAACTCGATAATCTCCCAGACCGGGACGCGAGACCCAAAACTCGCGATCCATCTCTTCCGGGAGATGGATTTGCAAGGTTTCAATCCGGACGAGGTCACCTTCGCCAAGATCCTCGACGTTTGTAGCACCGCCACCACCGAGCTCTCGCTAAGCAGCCTCCAATGCATCATCCACGACGCCCCCGCGATTCGAAACGCGCACCTCTCCACGTCGCTGGTCGCCATGTACGCGCGCTGCGGCAGGCTCGACGACGCGCTCGCGCTCTTCCACAAGATGCCCTCCCGCGACACGGTATCCTGGAACGCGATGCTCTCGGCATATTCCCTTTCCTCCGCCACCTTTGATGCCCTCCTCCGCGCCTTCGCGGCCATGCAGCTCGACGGCGTGCCGCCCGACGGCGTCACCTTCGTCACCCTCCTGGCGGCGTGCAGCCACGCGGGCGATCTCCAGCGCGGTGCCGCGTGCTTTGCGGCCATGGCGGAGCTGTACGGCGTGGCGCCCGGTGCCGGCCACTACGCGTGCCTGGCGGACCTCCTCTCCCGGCTGGGCCAGCTCGAGCGCGCTGAGAACGTCATCCACGCCATGCCGTACGAGCCCGGCCCGGCGGCGTGGACGTCCGTGCTCGGCGCGTGTGGCAGCCACGGTACCGCCGACCGCGCGAGAGATGCCGCGCGGTATGCCCTCGACGCCGAGCCGCGCGGCTCGTCTTCTTATGTGCTGCTCTCCAATGTCTTGGGGAGCGTTCCAGGGTGAAAAAGTTTTATTTCTTCTTGCGTGTGCCTGTATTGATCATGAGCTACAAAGAAATTTTGTATAGAAGTAACAAACCGCCACGCATTTTTACACTTGGGACGCTAGGACGAGATTATCTTTCGGAGGATCTTTCCGGAGTACTTGAAGGACTTGGCGGTCTCTTTCAAGCACCGATCTTTGTCCTCGCGGCTCCATTCCTGATAGATTAAAGTTGTGAGCGAGCACAGCCTTTAGCTCTCGCCATTTTGATAGTTACCTCTGATATTCTGTTGATCTTATCCCTCACCGCATTCAAAAGCTTGGGAAGCTCGCCTTTCCACTTGTAAAACTCGAGCTCTCTCCCGTCCAAAATCTCGTCCGCGACCTGAGTTAAATCCCGCGCTCCATATCAAGACGGGAAAGAAACGAGAACTTCAAGAGTCTTACCTTCTTTCCAATGAATCGGCCACCGGCAGTGTGAGCGAAGTAATAGTTGTAGAAGTGACAGATAAAAGCGGGCGGGTCCTCCTCGGCAATCGTCTCCAAGAACTCTGCGTAGGATTTCCCATCCAAGCTCGGCTCCGGAAGCTCGTGACCCTGCTCTTGAAACCATTCCAAATCTTTCGCCAGAGCCTCCGATCTCTCTAGTCCCGTATCCTGGAACTCGGTATCTACACAGTGATCGGAGGAAAAACAAAAGAAACTGGATAAGTCATCATCTTCAAGAACAAACAAGCTCAAACGAGAAAGAAAAAACAAACAAACTGGATAAGTCATCATCTTCAAGAACAAACAAGCTCAAAAGAGAAAGAAAAAACAAACAAACTGGATCAGTCATCATCTTCAAGAACAGCCAAGCTCAAAACCAGAAGAAGAAAAGGAGAAGAGAACTTACAAAACGAATGCGATGCTCTACGAACGAGCGCCTCTAGAACCTCGTAGATGAGCTTGTTATCCACCAAGAACTGGAGATAGCCTTGGATGGTCGGCTTCCAGCTCCCAACCGGCTGCACGTCGGCCTCCTTCCCGCCTTCCTTGGCCTGATCCTTGGTATGGAGCTTCATTGCGACAAACCTCATCTCCTCCACAAACCCTTTCCTCTCGCCTGGCCGCTTGGGACGAAGCTCCGGGCTCTCGGACAGCGTCGTCGATGCAAACACTCGAATGCCGCTGCTGGATTGATTCCTGCCCGCCATTCTCTGCAATCCCGCGCTCGAAATCTTCGCGCTTCTAGCCAGGAACTCTGCCGCCTTGGAGAAAGAGCAGGAAGAGCACTGGGAGAAGGGCGAGACCTCTTGCTTGCATCGTCGGAGACTAGGCCGCGGTAGCGTGCTTCCAATCGACGCCGTGGACGCCGCCATCGCCATCGCTTGCTTGCAGCTTTGCTCTAGCCCTCCAAAATAAAATAAAAATCAACGGTGGAATGTGGATATAGCTAAGGGCCCCGATTTGTCCACGTGGATCTCGTTATGCTTTCGTTTTTAGGGTTCTTTCATGGTGGACGCTGCCGAGCGAATGTGGAGTGTCGCGTCCACGGATCGAGGAATGCAAGCTTCCGAGAGAGAATTGGTAGGAGATATCCACAGCTAAGTAATGATCGAGGCTCTCATCGGTGTTTTCTTGGTGTTTTCTCTTGGGCAGTCGGATGCCAAGGCCATTGTGATCAATGAGCTCCTTGTTGACAAGCTTAAGCTCCTCAAATACGATCACATATTTTGCCAGACGAGGTAAGCCATCAAAGGTTTCCTCTTCGTGACTCGTTTTTCTTTTTTTTCTTTCAAAACTTTGATTCGTTTTTCCTTGTCTGGATTTCTAGGACTCCACCATGGGAGAGATTGCACAGATTTTATTTCGCTGTGTCTTCACCCAATCGCAACGACCAGTTTATGTACTTCGCAAGCCTTGTGAGTTTTTTCTTTCGTTTGTCATTGTTTCATTTAGCTCGTTTGATTTTGTTGGTGAAGGTAGCGTGGCTATATAGTTTGATCGGTGTTCCATTTCCTGCACCTTCTGACAACGATGATCTTAATCCCATCTGTTCGAACATTGGTAACCATCTTCTTATGATGGAGAAAATAATCCTTCTGTGAGCTTTGCAGTCTTGCAGCTGCGAGAAGTTGGATTTGCACCTCCATCTTGGTCTCCCTCAAAATTGAAGCAGGTAATACCACTTTGTATTTTGTATCCTTTTCGTAAACGAGAAAGCCACCAGGGACACGGCGATGCGGTGTGCAGCGTGCTTGACAGCCTTGTCGATCTTGTTCTGGAAATTAAAAATTTCCAGTTTGCTGTTCCAATGTATACAGACTTGTAAGTGCAGCATTCCCAATTTTAAGCTTTTGTGTGTGTTTTTATTTTGTTTTTTCAGGGGAAAGGCAATTGTGGTTGATGAAATAGGAAGCGAAGCAGCCGATGAGGTAATATTGACTTCTACTTCTTTTTCCTTTGACGTTGTTTTCTTACAGTTGTGTGTGTCCAAGCCTTCGAAACCAAACGAAGCAGCAAGCAGTGTGTTTCCAGACTTGTAAGTTTCTTTAAGTTTCCTTGACGTCCTTTCATCTTATTAACCTCGATCATCAGACTTACGGAATCTACATCCACGTCAAAGATTGATCCAAATCACTGGAAAATGGATCTTGAGCGCTTGGCACCTCAACTTTCTCTTCCATTGGTCAGTTCTTGTTTATTGTATGTAGTTCGAGCTTTATCTTCGTCGTGTGCCTGCTTGCTCTAGGTGCCTGACGGCAAGGAATGGCGAACACATTTGGAGCAAGCCCAGCAACTACATGCGGTTCGATGCTTAAGTCTCGTGCTCTATTTCGTAACATGTCTGATCCCTGCAGGGAATTTCTAAGCAATTAGTGAGCAATAATGCCGAGCTAGAACGGTAAGGTAAAGAATTGATGCAGCACAAAACTCTGGATCGTGATACGTTGTTTAGTGCCACGCAGGGTGGAAGGAAATATCTCCTCTACACTGGAGAAACTGCAAAGCCGTGAGAAGTTCATCAACTCCCAGATCGAACCTCTGGTAAGCGCCTGCTGAAGTGAATGAAAAGTTTAAAGCTTTGATTTCCAGACAACTGAGTACTCAGCTGTGAAGAGGAGACTCAGCGAAGCTCAACAGGTTAGTGTAAAATAAGTTCGTAGTTTTGAACCATCTAAGCTGTTTCCAACTTACAGAAGTACGGCAATAGCCTTGACAATGTTACGGAGCTCACAAACGAAATAGCACACATTTCTGAGCAAATCGAGCAAGTCAAGGTAGAAAGGTTTTCTTTTTCTGCTCTCAGTTTCATGTTCTGGAGCTTTCAACTTTCAGCAAATGACAGTGGACAAAGGCAACATGATATCCGACGTCTCTCCCCTCTTGCAAATCAAAAGCGCCATTCAAAGGCTCAAGGTCCCTCCTGCTAAAATCCTTCGTTAAATCTCACAAACGTCCACAGGCGGAGCTCAAGGAAATGGAAGTCCGAATAGGAGTTTTACAGCACAGGCTCCTCCATGTATAACACCAAGAACAAACCATCCAAAAGTTCTAACGCGAGTTTCTGTTTCTCAGGTTAGCCTGAAGCAAGCCAGGAAAGGACATGTCTTAGCACCCTTTTGACGGTAATGTGATCACACTAACGCGATGGATATTTACAAGAGATGGCCGTCTGTATGATACAGAATATCGACAACGTTGCTGTACACTACCAAAATGGGCACCACCTAAAGAGAGAAAAAAAAGTATGAGTCCAACATCTAGCTATATACAAAAGCACGTACCCCACATAGCTTTGGCACAAATTCTCGCTGGAAGTAGCTTGGTCGATGAGTTTCTGGACTTGGTCTTTGACGCTAAGAACCGACTCTCCCACAGGAAAGTCTCTACCCGTGAGTTTGTCGCTCATCCTCCCCATCACGGACACAGCCCGTTCGTTGAGTACTTCGTTTGCATCCCCGAGTTGTCCAACCACCTGCGCGATAAGTGTTTTTAATGGTCTTGATCTAACGAGAATGATAAGCACAGTAAGACAGCTTACGTTGAATGCGTGAAGCATCTCGCGTTCCCGAGCTCCCCTTTGAGGTGGAGAAGGCAGTCCTACTGCCTCCAAGTTTTGGGTCGCTGTTTGAGCACGGATGGTTGCCATGCTGGCTGGTACGTCGTTGATGTTAAACAGCCTCCAGTTGATCAAAGGATCGTGAACAAATGCCTGCAGATGCCAGCCGTTTTAGCCATGGAACAATGCTGAATGAAAAGCTAATACCTCCATCATGGCCATTACGCTGTCTTTGTTTGATCTCAAGACGTGCATCACGTCCTCGCAAATCGACCGGAAGTTCCCTTCGATGCCACTAACTTCCATGGCCTTTACTAGCATCCTTGTCAATCGAAATGGAACCTGCAAGACAAAGAACTACCGGTTTGAGGAGCGAGCTTCTCTATCGTTGCATCACCACCTTTTCAGGAAACTTCTCCCGCGTCATCGCTGCCTCGAAGCAATCCCCAAAGTCAATGTGCAGAATTTTCCCGCTGTAGCGATTAAGCATTAGATTGCTTGGATGTCGATCGCCTAAACCAAGAAGGTATCCGACCTGAAGAGAAGGGAGTATAAGCACATCCATTATCAGTGCGTGACGACGTTACCATGCTCATGACGGCTAAGCTACGAGTGTAGTTCGTTCGCCGTTCTAGCCAAACTTCTGAGGTTTTGCTTTTAAGCCAGAAAACCTGCCACAACCAAGTTAGCATGTCTCAAATCAGACGAAGAAAAACCAAACCTTTGCCAGGTCATCACCGTCGGTCGCCTCCAGAGCATGCTGGAATACCTCGACTTTGGCTATAAGAGTAAGATGATCGAGATCAGGAGCGAACGACACCATGGCTCGATGTTCAGCATTGACAGGAACCTGCAAGTTTTGGTTCGGGCAATGACAGGCTGAAATGAAAGTCTACCTTCCGAGCATCCCGATATTCACGAATAAGGTGATGTAGAGTGTCGCAGTTTGGGACCCATCCAATAAGACCGCTGTTTGGAGAGAGCGGAACCACGTCATATCGCTGAATGGAAAGGTCCTTCTCCGCCGTGTGCCGGGCATTCGTTAGAAGGGTATTTACAAGCCCAAATAACTAAAACGCAACCCACATGTTAGTAAATCGATGTCCTGTGAATCTGATGTTACCTGCATCACGCGCTCGTCTTGTCTAAGGTCTTCATGGCCCTTTAATAAGAATGTATAATCCTGGCCATCGCTGCCCTTGATGGTGCACTTCCGAGGTCGCTGTTTCGATGGCATAACTATGAGCTGTGGATCAAAACTCTGTATTGTCACAACGTTCGCTTCCGGACCTGTTTTAAGAGGAGCGTCTGCTTAATAAAAGCACAATAAAACGCATCACCACGTACCAGGACGATATGTTCCAGGGACAGCAAGTTCCAAATTGCGAGCATTGAGAAGAGCAGGAGAAACATATTGAAGTTCCAGAGTAGTTACGCTTGGAAGCTGCTTGTTTATACGTTTAAATACGTGATAATAGAGATCCCAAGCCTAAAGCCAGCACACCTCTTCATTAAAACACCAGAAAAATGGAGATAGTACCTGTGTGAGTTCCGCTTCATTACCAGTACGACGATATTCCATGCACCATTCATGAGCTTCTTGCAATTCTCGCCCATAAGCCTGCACATGAATGGTAGTATGTCATTCCGGGTTCGATATTTAAAATTAAAAGCTTGCCTGTACGAATGCGATCTCTTTGAGGGTTACGGCACCTTCTTCCTCTAGTTTACGATGCAAGGGTTCCAGCACGTTTAGCATGCCCTCCTTATTATGCTCCCCAAAATACAGACGGCTGGCTTCTTCAAGTGCTTCGTACCACATTTCATGCCAGAGTATGGCCACTCGTATAAGCTCCTGAGAGACTAATTGTGCCTGGAGAAAAAAAGCTATAGACGTTATCTTTGCGTTTCTCACACAAACTTACTTGCTCCACAAGAGCTACGTGATGCTGGCGAACTCTGTCAACAACTGTCAAAGCAGCAGTTTTCCGTGAGGAGCTAATGGATTTACATGCAACTAAAAGCGGGTACATAAGAGCCTGCACGCTGCATTGTTAGAACATAAAACTCTTAAGCATTTCAGTTAGACAACAACCTGAGGATGAATCTGTCCAATGCGTACAAGGAGTTGTTGGATAAGCTCTCGGACAGCGGGAATGTGCGAGTGTATCCGAGCAATAATCTGCGGCAGGACCACCAGCCATGTGTCGATTATCACGTGCTTAAAACCGTCTTGCAACGCAGCATAAACTTCATCGGAAGCACCATGGTTAAACCAGAGCGTCAAAAGCCGTAGAATATCCTGAAAGTGGTCAATGTTAGCCATCCCAATACACTACATCAGCACCAACCTGTAAACTATCATCCCCGCCCTTGTTCGTGGACGCATTTGCAATGGATTTGAAGTATCCAGAAACAGCTGATACCACGTGATGAGCAGCCTTTACCGAATCTCCTTTCATAGAGTAATGTGACAAGGCCGCCGTGTTGAACAATGCCCACCTATGCCAAGCCTTCCCCCACGCTCTCGCATAATCGATTGCAGATTTATAGGCAGAAGATATT